CATCAACCTCACCTCCTACACGCACACAGAATGCAATAATACATGTCATCAACTTGACCTTCTTCACATACACCAAACTCAATAATACATGTCATCAACTTGACCTCCTACTCCTACACAGAACTCAATAATACATGTCATCAATTTGAACTCCTACACATACACAGAACTCAATAATATATGTCATCCACTTGACCTCCTACACATACCCAGAAGGACTCAATAGTACATGTCATCAACTTGACCTCATACACATACACAGAAGAACTGAATACTACATGCCATCAACTTGACCTCGTACACATAAACAGAAGAACTCAATAATACATGTCAACTTGACCACCTACACATACACAGAAGTACTCAATACATATCATCAACTTGACCTTGTCCACACACCCAGTAGAACTCAATAATACATGTCATCAATCTCACCTCCTACACGCACACAAAAGAACTCAATAATGCATGTCATCAACTTGACCTCATACACATACACAGAAGAACTCAGTAATACATGTCATCAACTAGACCTCCTGCACATACACAGAAGAACTGAATACTACATGCCATCAACTTGACCTCATACACATACACAAAAGAACTCAATAATACATGTCATCAACTTGACCTTGTACACACATAGAGAACTCAATAGTACATGTCATCAACTTGACCTCTTGCACATATGCAGAAGAACTAAATAATATATGTCATCAACTTGAACTCGTACACATACCTAGAAGAACTCAATAATACATGTCATCTACTTGACCTCATACACATACAAAGAACTCAATATTACATGTCATCAACTTGACCTCATACAGATCAAGAAAAACCCACAGATTGGGGAGAAAGTTTTAGGAATGACATCAGATAAGGCACTAATGTCTAAAATCTACAGAACTGCAATATTTAAGGAAAGAAAAAAAAAAGATCTGATTAAGGAATGGGCAGAGGACATGAACAGAGAGTTTACCAAAGAAGATCTGGAGCCGGCCAAGGAATACTGTGATCACTCACCACCTGGAAGATGCACATCCAAACATTGATGAGACCAACCTCGCCCAAGCACTGACCGCACAGCCAAAGGAGCCGAAAGGCACACGTTCCGGAGGCATCGGAAGCGGCTGGAACGTCATGCAGGGCCCGTGGGATGGACACGTGCAGCCACACTGGAAAGCCCAGTGGGACACTCTTCCTCAGACACCTGGGAGCAGAAATGCCGTGAGACCGAGCAACCTCCAGGCTGGGCATACACCCTACAGCAGTGAGGACCGTCACACGGGCAGATGCATCCACACCCATGTTCCTCCCAGCTCTGTGCACAGCACCAAGAAGGTGGGGCTTCCCAAGTGCCCATGGGTGGAAGAAGGGGTACACAAACACTGGTGTATGCACACGAAGGGTACCACACACCACTGGACGGTGGCGACACAGCTGGGAAACACCTGGTGATGTGCATGAATTCAGAGGAGATGAAGTGGATGGAAGTCAGTCAACATAAAAGGACCAACACTGTACAAAACCCCTGTTATAAAGTGAATTCTGGTAAGGTTACTGACGGCTCCCAGGGGCTGGAGGGGCAGAGAGGAAAAGAAAAGCAAGAGGCCTGCAGGGTCAGCAGGTGTGAACTTGGATGCAGGGGACAGAAGAGGGAGATGGGGAGAGATGGGGAGAGGGGGGCAGGGCAAGCCATCGAGAGATTTTATAAGCTGTTTAAGTTGCTGAACACAGAAGCAATGGTATAATCATGCAAACCTTCACTTAATTCACAATAAAGTGGAGGGAAACTAAGAACAAGGTAGATGAGAGATAGGTAGAGATGGATGGATGACGGC